GTTTGACCCGCGCGCCTCGGAAGTTATGAACTCGGGACTTTGGAGAGGAGAAGATTTTCTGCAACTCTTGTAATTCGTATTTTTCTGATACTCGTTTTTTCCGGGGTGAACTCCACTAGTTCTGAGAACAAGCGTCATGAGAGGCCATTGTGATCAATTTCGTGGCGCGTGAAGAATTTGGGCGATTTCAGGTACGACAAGTAGTCCGTGCGATGGAGAAAGTGTTTCCGGTGTTTCGGAAGAGCTGGAGGACTCGTAGACGTCAATTACGACGCTTGACCAGTAATACCGATCTGTTGGGCGTGGAGTGGTAGGGATTAATTATAATGAAATATCTCCCTTACTTTGGAGTGTGAAAAATTCCGGGTTCGGGATTGGTTCGCGCACGATAGTATTGAATAGCCGTTCAAAAATGATGATTTTTCGCCAAAAATCTAGTGGAAGTGAGATTAGTGATGATTTTACGCACGATTATACAGAAATTTCATCACTGTTCAATTTATTGGACTTATTCTAAGGACAGCTCGAGCCACCGAAGTAAGCGCTCCTCATGATAGCGGGCCACCGAGGAGGTGCTCGCGTGTCTAGCTGCAGCTGGCTTGTCGTGACTCACGACTCGTGAGACAAACGGTCTGCATTGACTTCCTTTTGGGAGCATCTCAGCATCTCAGCGCCGATGGACTTTTGGTCCTTTGAAAGACTCTAGCTTCGGGAGCGCGGGGTGGTGGAACTAGGCTCATTTGAGGATCTGAGATGTCGGCAGCGACACAAATGCGGCAGATCCCATTGGGCGGCCGCCGTATTTGTGAGAAAGACGTGGCTTTCAGCGGCAGCAAAGGCGAACCGTTTTCGGTTGATGGTGGTTCTGGTCAGGTGCCAGCGATTATGAAACGTACAAGAAAGCAGCTAGAGAACTGGACCAGAGCGTCTCTTGGATCGAAAAGTGGAAAGATACTGATGACGGCGTTGGATACTCCTCGCTGTGCATCAAGTCCCACGGTACTAGAATTTGTCGAATTTCCGAATGTTCGAAGAAAAAGCGCTCGCCCGCAGGAGAGGAGCTCCGTTCTGCGAAGTCGTTGGAGCACAAGCTGGCGCTGCTGAGACAAATACTTGTGACGGGATTTGCAGGCATCGGGACAGATGAGTATCTTTTCTCGAAGAGTTTCCTGGGTAAGCGGAGCGAAGCGATTCATGTTTGCAGTTTTTGTGGCAGCATTCAGTTCGATTTGGCTTGAGTGGGAGGTTTCGCGGTTTGGTATTTTGGTGGTGTGACGGAGAAATTTTCCCATTTTCTTAAACGTTTGGTCATTTTTCGGAACAGGTACGAAGGAATGCATCACGGAGTTTTACGAGTTGGTTGCTGATACCATTGATGAGCTGACGGCTCACTTGAAGACGGAAGATTCCAAGAAAAATGATTCAATAGAAAAGCATCTGTACTCGGAATTTCTGAACGATATTATGTAAGAGGAGGTCCCGGGTTCGATCCCGGCATGCTGTATTTTTCTGTAATTTTTAGGCTTACTTTTGGACAGCCAGCCCTTTGTCTGTCTGGCGGAGGGATGATGGCGCTGATGCATTTTGGTATTGTGGAAACCATGATCGAGCAAGGATGCCTGCCTAAAGTCATCTGCGGTAAATTCTGTCGGAGCCTAGCTTCAACCTAAGATACGTTTGTAGGCACTAGTGGGGGTTCTGTAGTGGCGGCGTATCTTTGCACGCACACTGATGAGGAGTTGCCGAGCATCGTCAAGCCGGAAGTCGTTCAGCCAAAATGGACTCCCTGCAACGACAGCTGGTGGACCTGTATTAGAAGGTGGGATATTTGAAATCGATCGCGTGATCGATTGTCAGTATTTGTATCAGATTCTTTCGTACTGGGTACATGTTCGACCCGACTCCGTGGCATGATCTTCTCGCCGAATGGCTGGGGTAGGTTGTGGAAGTAATATCGATCACATGATCGATTTCGTTTCAGTGATAGAGATATTACGTTCCTGGAGGCCTTTCAACGCACCAACAGAGTCCTCGTGCTCACATGCAGTAAGTTGTCTACTGATGCTCCCTCGTCTGATACTGATAGTATCTTTCACCTCATCGGTGCTCATGCGAATTTTCTCTGATTGATAATGAGTTTATTTTTTTCCGTCGGTCTACTACCACTCTCGAGTCGGATGGGGATAGTATCCTTTTCGACCTTGGATTCTTCACGTCTTTGTTCTGTTCATTTGGATGGTTATCGCTGTTCGATAATACCTTTTTTCTCTCGGTACCGCTGTAAATTCGGCAGATTCTTCTCAGACGGTTTAGGAGTAGTATCTTTGAGGTTGACGTTGTTCATGTCCGTCGTCTCGGTCACCTGAGTATCTTTTTCCCCGTATCTTTCACGCATCAACATTGACTTACCATCGTTTCAGGTTCTAATTCCTCCACAGGAGGAGAGCCGCTTTTGTTACATTACCGTTCAGCACCAAACGTAAAGATGCTATTCTGCGCTATCCTATGGTCAACCTAAGATTCTTCCGTCAGGTTTTGATTCGATCGGCTGTCCTATGCTCGTCGGCCATGCCATACTTGCTGCCTCCGCAACCGCTCCTTGTCAAGGACCCCGAAACGGGAGTGAGTTCACGTCGCCTCGCTTTGTGAAAATTTACTCGAAATGCATTTTTGAATCCGGCCGATCCGCGAGTGGACTTCATCCGTATCTTACATGCTTCAACCTTTGTATCAACGCTGAGCAGCACCGCCTTGCAGTATGAACAGAAAAAGACTAATAGAAGAGTGTCCCGGGCGGTTCGAAATTTCCGTTCTCTTCGCCACTGCGAGCTAGCATGGGCGATTTATTCTCATTCCGCGTATCTTTTTCTCCGTGAGTGACCAGCATCAACCTCTCTGATGTTCACTCAGGAAATTAGTCAATACACCGGTGGAGGCGCTTTCGCCTCTGACAACAGTTACTTCATGGACGGTTCTCTGCAGGTAGGACCTCCCTGCTTCGCTCCGCTGGTTTTCTTGCCGCATTTTATCATTTTTTTAGGCTGATACTCCTCAGCAAGGCCTTGGAGAGATGTTTCACGCCCATGTCTTCATCACCAGCCAGGTTAGCTGAATCGATCACTCGGGCGCGCGCTAAGTGAAGCACTGCTTTTGTTTGTACTAGGTGAATCCGCATATTATACCATTCTTCTTTTGGAACAAGGGGAGAGGCTGGACGGCCGCTGAACTTCTGGCGGGAATGGCGTGGAGGGTTCTTGCTCAGCTCGCTGGAGGTACGAACCCGACCGCCCAGGTTCAATTCCATGTTGCGGGTCTCTTTTTAGGTTTTCTTGAAAGAAGACCTGCGCAAAAACGCTCGTCTAGTGAGCGAGTTGGAGCTCCTTCCGCAGCACTACTCCGCCGACTGGTCCAGACTTTTCTTGCAGACATTCGACGGCAATATTACCGTCACGCCACCGACGTTGAAACTCTGGTAAGGCCGTCGAGGGTGGGGAATTAGTCAGGTCCAGGGTCTCAGTAGTTGAGGCGAAATTGAGTTTTTAGACTATATTCTAACTTGGTTGGAGCACCCTAGGAGTGCAGCGCTTCGCGTTAATTTAGAATGTGTGCTGTTGGTGGTCCCCTGATCCTCGGCATGAAGGCAGAGGAAAGACAGCTGAGCTTACCGAAGCTAAGCTAACACCGAAGACGCGACCGCCTACCTGGGCCGCGCATCCGGCGTGCGCGCGAGCCTGCTACCAGGCACCAGTCCTAGTAGTTACGACAGATTCAATTTTTTTGGGTGTAAAGTCCAGATTAATTTGGAGCACTGTATGAGCGCGCGAGAATCATAATTCTATTACATTTTCCGCTTTCCCGCACTTGACTTCAATCGTGAAGATTAGTTTAACTGAGCTCCGTTGGTTTGGGTTGGGCGTGTAGCGCGGTGAGAATCCGATGCTGTAGGAAAGACTGCGAAAAAGTTGAATTTAAAATGGGAAATTCTCTGCGGTTTCTGGGTGTTGCCCTTGAGCTAGTTGGTATCTGCCAAGGGTCAACCTTGGATACGTTATTAAGAGTGTATCAAGCATGCCGTTTGCTCCTCAGGTACTTCACGCAAATTATAAAGAATCCGACGCCCGCGGTGATGCGCGACTACTTTCAGGAAGGGCGACAAATGGTCTTCCCTAAAATGGAGATGATACGGCTTCGGTTCAAAATCGACAACGCCATTACGAGGCTTCACAGAGCGGTAGGAGCTCAGAGAAATGAGTTTGACCGTAAATTTTGTCGGTGCCCAGGCTTTGTGCTTTCTGAGGAAATTCAAAAAATTACGGTTTGTTTTCGACTTTTTCTCGGCTGTGCTGGAAAAAAGTTGGTAATTATCAGGTGAATTTGAAGCCTATTTTCTGGTTTTACTCTGTGGATTGCTAGAGAATGTACTTCTAGGAATGATTCCTAAGGAATCTGATGGGGAATTCGGGTTTGATCTCTCGTGCGGTGTGTTCGGTACTTGCGCAAATTTGGGAAAATTTGTGGATTTTCCCGAAAACCTGCGTGTTTTCACGGACGAATCGACAGTGGGGGCGGGACATGAGACTGTAGTGACGATCGAAGTGCCGAACAGTTCAGTGAACTCATGATAGGTTCAAGCCCGTTGGAGAGTTGCCCCGTTGAATCGGCCGTACCCGGTTTCTCGAGAAGAGTCAGAGGATAATGGGGAGAGTCCGGCGTCCTCACTGGAGATGATGAGATCGGAGGCCGGGCGGTGAGCCTGAGTTTGAATGATTCTGGCTGTTATCGCTGCGGCTGTAGATACACCCTCAGACGCAGAACCTCGCCTCGGAAGAGCAGTAGGAAGTGATAGAAAGATAGTGTAGCGCGTTAGATGGATGATGAAAGGAGTTGTGTTGAGAGTTGGGCTTCGGGAGTGATCGACTGCTGCGACGGAATCTTGAACGTTTCTGATTCGAGCTCGCATGAAGAGCAACTGGGAGTTGAATAAATGCATACACCCAGCATGTTGTATCTGGGATTTGAACCCGCAACCTTCGGCTTAGAATTCTAACGCTCTATCCAATTGAGCCACCAGAGCCGAGCTCTGTGGCGGCATGCAGTTCTAGCGCTCGTTCCTGCAACGACGTTTTGGTATACAGATTGAATACAGATTGGTATACAGATTCAGCAGCTGTGGAAGTTGAGGGAAGGGAGAGGAAGGCTCCTAAGCTTGCTCTACTCGCATGTCTGAACGCTCCATTCCCGGCGCGATAAACTTGCCAGGCGAATCCCTCTTGAACCAACATACATTCATGCCAGTCTAGCTGAGACGGGTTTCGGCGTTGGACTCAAACTGAGGGCATATAGTGCGCTCACTTGCTGCCTATCGAGACAATTAGCGAACTAAACATGACGACCTTGTGGCGCTATGGAAGCGCGTCGGTTCCCGGAGACCCAGGCTGCGGGTTCAAGTCCCGCCAGGGTTACCGACGGTAACAACGGTAACTTACCGTTGTTTTCGCGCTCAACGTCGTAAGTGTATAGTAAGGAAGGGCTGTCATACGAACAGACAGTTCCGATCTGATGTGCATATACTCTGAGCGGGACTTGAACCCGCAACCTTTGGATTAGAAGTCCAACGCTCTATCCGATTGAGCCACCAGAGCCGAAGCAAATCGCGACATACAGTGCTGGCCGGTGGTGAGCGTTCCTTTGAATGTTGGAGGGCATACAGTAGCTCACTTGCTGCCTTTTGACAGAATCAGCGCATCGGATTGGAGCTTCGGCTCTGTTTCTCGAAAGGGAAGCTGGTTAGTAATCCAGCGCCGAGACGTTGATCATATGTAGCAACACAAGTGCAGTCGGACACGCCATAGAGGACCCCAGGAAGCATTGTCTTTCCTTTTTAACCGTTCGACCTACCCAGGAATCAGATCATCTGGAGATAGGGTTCTCGAACTGGAATACCCGTCACCCAGTCCACTGGAAAAAAGTCCTTGCTCATCACCCCAGTCTTTTGGTGTTAGACCTCTAAACTTCTGTAACACTCACCGCGAGTCCAGTCTCGCCCGCCCGACCGAATCACTTTCGCTGCAGTTGATCCTAGCCTCTAGCGATACTCTCCATGAACCAGTAAAAATCTCAGTGCATACTGCACAAAGGGTATCCTTCCTCCTCGTGCAAACATATCGGTAGCTCAATCGACCTTGTGACGCAATGGAAGCGCGTCGGTTTCCGGAGGCGAAAGTTGCGGGTTCGAGCCCCGCCAGGGTTGTAGTATTTCATTGCGTTCAACGGCGATAGTGTATAGTAGGGACACTGTCATAGGAGCAGACAGTTCCGATCTGATGTGCATATGCTCTGAACGGGATCTGAACCTGCAGCCTTGGGATCAGAAGTCCAACGCTCTATCCGGTTGAGCCACCAGAGCCGGAACCAGTTGCGACATACAGTGCTGGCCGGTTGTGGGCGTTCCTTTGAATGTTGAAGGGCATACAGTGGATTCATTTGCTGCCTCAGCAGACTATTCTCATTAAGCCGAGCTTATGGTGAAATTGAAGCGCTTCGGGTAACCCGAATCGGGTTCCGGAGCCAAATGCTGCGGGTTCAACTTCGGTCAGGATTAGGCAAAATCCTAGTTCCGAGTGAAGTGTCGCACCAAGACTTGGTGCACGATGAAACACGCTGTGGGATAGGGCTGAGCCGTGGTAAGGTGAGAATTCCAGGACAGCGCACCGTGCATCCATCAGCGACAAGCTGACGTCTCGTTCTGTGTTCATGAACGCCTTGTCAACATTCTTGTGTGCTGGAACACATTTCGTTCCAAACTAAAGTCGCAACCCGGATTTGAACCGGGGTTGACACGGCCACAACGTGACGTCCTGACCACTAGACGATAGCGACGTAGGAGACCATTCTGATGATACATATTCCAATGCTTAACAACAAACAAGCTGGGCTCACTCAATTTCGCTGAAGCGAGAAACGCCGGGCAGTGTCCGATGGTGAGTTCTTGGAATATTGCATGATCACAGTTGAATTGCATTCGAGCCGCAAGCTATCTCGAAGCACTTGTAACACTCTACACGGCAGATGGAGCCATCCAATACTAACTAATCACTGACAGTTTGGCCGAGGCGCTAGTGACTAGCACTACAAGTGCGAGACGACGGAGATAGTGTTGGGAGCCGTTTTGGGTTTCCATGCCATTGTTCTCAATGTCGCGAGAAGATGCACTCATCCCACTAGATTAACACAACCAGTCGATAATACCAATTAATACTAATGGATAGATAATCAACCCACCGAGCCTTGGGTTGCAACGATAGTACTTCACGTAAGGATGGTCCAACCAGTAAGGACCACAAACCAATAAAAACTCTTAATCTTATCTATACTTCACATACAAGCTCTAGCTTACTTAGCTTGAATGTCTACGATCACACAGAGCAAACGCTACCCGCGCACGCCCTAAAATCAAAGTGCTCAGTTTGCTCACAACACACCCCGCAACGGCAGTGTAATTGTGTACAGACCCACCTACGAGTGTACTTAGACAGTAAGCTACTCAATTACAGTGGCGGAAGTACAATAACATTAATAGAGGTAACAATTCTACTTACAAGTCTGATCATGGTGGGGCTCATGACACCAACTATCCAGACAAAAGTACTTAAACCTCACGCAGCAAAAAGTTACCAACGACTGCCAGAGCTACCACTCGAGTGGCGCTTGTTCCAACCATCGTCACCCTTCTTGTACCAACCGTCATCAGAACCATATCTTTTACCCCAACTCTTCTTATAGGGACGCTCACGATAATCTCCACGTACCCAATCACGAGAGCCACGGTCTTGAAGAGCCTCCTCAACCATCGTAGTCAAACGACTCAAATTGGACTTGATCTCATCAATCTGACTTTGGATGTCACCCACCTTGTCTTGGGTGTCGCCAGTCTGAGCATCCTTTCCACCTTCAGTACTCATAGGAGTATCACTTCTCTGGGATAAATCCACGAGCTTACTGAAGAAGTTGTTCGACTTACTTGGTGACGTAGTGGGAGTTCCTTTATCCGGTCTATCCACCAACGGGGAGATACTACCAATATCCAAGGCTTCGTAACTAATGGGGTCCTCGGTTGACGGGGAGAACTGTTGCAGATCCACAGTCGCAGCACCACAGACCCTACCCACGATCTCATTCAACGCCTTGAAGACAGGCTCCTTAACCAGTCTTAGCGTCAAGGCCGTATAACCGAGACCCAGATCCGAGCACTTCTTCCAAGTTGACATCCACGTAGGGTTTTTAGACACATTCTTGTTGCTAATCAAGGGTGGTCTACCCTCCAAATAACAGAACCTTGGATCAGTCCTCGAACCCACATAATTAGCCTCGTAGAACGCCCGCTTGATATAGTAGGAGTGCTGAGTTTCCTTCTTACTGCCAAACCCACCCGACCAGTGAGCCGATAATTGCCAATCACTGGCGGGTGTCTTGGTAGAATCAATACACACCAAGCACCTTAGATGCTTAGAGGCAGGCATATACTTGCCTTCACTCAGCGGACCTTCTCTATCGCACTTGTTAGTAGCCAACTTACTCCCTTGGGAGTTCCATGTTTCATAAGCCAGTTCGTAAGTCCACCTAGCCCCTTCGACCATAGCCTGGGTAATACCCAAGAACGACAAACCGTAGATTCTCAGCATGTACTCCTTGTAAGTGTGCTCCTCAGTGTCACAGTGATTCACCCACTCCTCGCCATCGCTCTCTCGACCAATCCACGTAGTGGCTAGTTGTGAACCATCTTTCTTGACCTTAACCCACGGAGCACATAACCAACATTGTCGGAAGCACACGCCTCTACACCCACCAAGGAAGGCCTCAATACCTTCAGACATAGTGAGTCTCCAGCACATGCATATGGCCATGATGCACCCAACCACCGCAGGTTCCACCAAGGGGGAGCTAACCTCATGGTTAACACCGTCTTGACCCACCGAGATTGAGTTGGTTGTGCCATCAAGACCCTTGCGACGGAGCTGTTGTACGCAGGCCGGGAGATAGGTCTCACCTTCCACCTTAAACTTGTCGTTGATGGCTTGGGCGTTGCATTGGTTGTCGTTGACCTCATTCATAAAGTCGCAACCAAACAAAGTCCTAACCTTCTCCTTGCCACCCACCGTATCCTCAAAGTAGTAGCTGTAGTGCTCATGGAGAGTAACCCACCCACCATTAATGGCTTCAGTAATAGTGGCCTCGAATAGTTTAATAATACTCTCCTTAGACCTTCTGGGGCTCAGGCTAGTAGGGTTGCCCTTCTTGGCCTGCCAGTTACTCTCTTTGTCGGTCATCTTAGACAACATAGGGGAAAGGGAGGATAAACCAACGGACTCTACAGCATTCAAGTCGCAAATAGTTGAGCTAGCATAAAAGGTCTCAGCTTCACCTCCACTTGGGCAATGAACGTGTACGTCACCTATCTGCACGCATGCACAAAACCGTGACGGCGAGCGCTGTCTCCTTTGTGCTGAGGCTTTCTCATCTGCGCTTGTTGTAACAAGCCACTTCTTCAGCGTCAATGTCGATCTTCTAGTCAATAGCCCTGTGTTGTGTTTAACATTAAGTGCTACCCACTCCTTGTCTCGAGATTGTGGACAAAAAGACCGCATACGCAGCAAAGGCTTGAACCGACTGCTATCACCCTCCGCGCCATTGGGATTAGATAAAGGGAAACCACATACAGAACCCTTCATTTCATCCCAATATAGTAGAAGGACTTCGTACTCATCCATAGATCGTTGGCTGATCTTGACCATATGTAACATATGATCATTTCCTCTGCCATCGACCACCAAGCCAGCTTCATTGTCACCAAACCACATCAAGGTGTTGACCGAGATAAGAGATTTGCCCTTAACATTCAGCCACCCACCCTCATTGGGTGATACCACTTTAAGAACATGAGCTACACTGTCCGTCACCTTCTTGCCTTTGGCGTTAACAACCACAGATACTCCTTGAACTCGCTCAACTTTATAAGGGCCTTGCCAAGGAATATCCAACTCGTGTTGCTTGGGTTTACTAATCCACACCCAATCACCAACGACAATCGTCTGAACCGGTAGCTTCGACGCTGCTCTTATCGACTCTTGACGAGACTTCTCTCTCACATCCTCCCAAGTTCTCTCGAACCTGCTCGTAAGCCGTGTTCGGTTTTCCTTGGAGGCTCTAGAGGCTTCTTCTACTGTTGGTTTGTGCACCTTTTCTTTCAAAGGTTGCGCACCCCGCAGTAGTCGAAAAGACTTCTCGTTGTTGAATCTCTCCAACACCGCATTAGTTGTTTGGCGCAACGGCCTGGCAAACATTAGCTCAAAGGGAGACACCGAATTGCCGTTCTCATCGGACTCTAGACTTCTCGAGTTCATCACGTAGAGAGCATCGTCCAACTTCGCAACCCAGTCTTCCTTCAAGGCAGCTACACCGTCCACCTTCATCCTGATAGAGTCATCCAGTAACATACTAATCAAAACTCGGTGGAGGGTTTGATGGGTACGTTCATAAGCTCCACCCAAAAAAGGACTATATCTCGGCGTGAGCTTATGATCAATAGAGAACTCCTGACACATGGTCTCAAATTTACGACTAGTAAATTGGGCACCATTGTCACTCAATATAGTGTGGGGAGTGCCCAGCCACTTAAACGTAGCCACCAATACCTTCAACACATTATCCGCCGTACTCTGCTTCAACGGAACCGCCACTACATACCGTGAGTAGAGACAGGTCATTGTAAGCAAATACCTATACCCTTCTTCACTTTCAATGTACGGACCAGTTATATCAATTCCCACCAAATGCCATGGTTGCGGGACACTATGAATCCACCCAGGATCTTGAGGATGGCATTTGCGGCCACGCACCAGTTGGCATACTTGGCAGGACCTCACATAATCTCGTACATTCTTACGTATATCTTTCCACCAAACCACCTTCAACATGGCTTGCAGTGTACCAGATATACCAACATGGGCTCTATCTTGATGATACTTCTTCATCAATAAGGGCACCAACTTGTCATCATTAGGTATAACCACTTGTCGCCTAACCCTTCCCGAGTTATCTTGGCGAATCTTGCGATGCAGAATCTTAGTAACCTCATCTACTTCGTAAGATAGTTTCCACCTACGCTAGGTGTTCGCACTCACTATGTGCTTACCCTCAGCATCGGTGGTACCCAAGATGACTGACTTGATCAGGAAAGCTCCTTCGAAGAAGACTGCCTCCACAATAAAAGACTCAACCAAGCTTCTTCCCATGAGGGTTCTTGGTACTCCTTCTTCAGAGCCTTCGCTTGCCATCTTCTAAGTCGGCGTAGTAGATCCTGATGCTTCCTAACACTGAGGTCCAAAGAACCATCAGCGCTTTCAAGCG